GAGAAGCACCGGTGGCCGCCCGTGTGGTACCTGAAGGAGGAAGATCACTACCAGCGGGCGCGGAAGGAGCGCGAGAAGGAGGACTACCTCCACCTCAAGCGGCAGCCTAAGCGGCGGTGGCTGTTCTGGAACAGCCCGTCCTCCCCGTCCTCCTCGGCAGCCTCCTCCTCATCCCCGTCTTCCTCCTCGGCTGTGGTCTGAGACGCCGCCACCCTCTTTTAACCCTGCTGCTGTTGTCCCCATCCGCCCTCGCCCCTCTGCTCTTCCGCGTCACCCCATCCACCTTACAACGACCAGGGGCCCCTGTAACCAGGACCCAGAGGGTGGAGCTGTCCTCACCAGCCACCGTGGCTCAGCCAGAGGGGAGCAGAGCCCTGTGGAGCGGAACAGGAACCCCCTGCAGAGGTCCCCAGACCCAAAGCAGGACGGGAGTCGACTGCTGGGAGGAGCCAGCGCCCTGGCATTTTATCTCTGGGTTCGAGAGCCCTTGAGTCAAAGGGGAAGCTTCCCAGCCTCGACGGCTTCCCCGTTTGTCTTGGTCACTGCTCTGGGCGGAGAGGCAGCCCCCTCCCAACAAGCAGAAGTGATCCTGCCCCTGCTGGCCGTGTCTTTCCACTGATGGACTTGAGTGTTACAATTGTTTTGTGGGCATTTCCGCACGGAGCCTACTCAAATCCCCACTGGAGAAGTCAGGGTAGAAATGGAGCCTTCAGAGCCCAACTCAAGGCTTCTACATCCTGGGGTGCAGCTGCAAAAGGCCAGGAGTGGAAAGGCCTGCATCCCGCCAGCTTCCCTCCCTCCCAGGGGGCAGTGGTAGCACAGGCCTGATCAGGGGGACAGAGGTCGTTCGGAGCTCCAGGCCTGAAAGCAACACCTCTTGGTACAACAAGGAACTTCTCCCTCACCCCTCCTTTACCCTCAGATTCGGAGATGGGAACCAAAGGAAGCAGCTGGGACAGGCGGAGAAGGAAGTGGGAACCAGTGCACGGCGACCCGAGCTCCTCAGGGCCCTCCCCGGCCTCTGGGGGCCACTGCTCTTTATAGGATGGGGCAGAATTAGCAAAAAAACAAAAGCAAACAAGAACCAAACTGAACCGAAACAAAAAATCACCAACAAACACTCTCCTCTATACCCCCCAGGGAATGAAAATCAGAAAAAGTCCCTGCCTAGCTCACATTTCTCTACATGATGAGGAGGTGAAGACTGAGGTTGCAGAATCGACGCCAATGCCTTTCAGGAAGGGACTCGGCACTTTCTGACGGCGGAGGCCCTGACCCTGCCAGCTGGCTCCCAGCGCAGCACAGGGGCCTGGCCTCCAGCGGGCTGGTGATGGAGGGGCCGGGGCTGGCGGCAAGGAGGGGTTTGGTTTCAGGACTCAGATGGCACTGGACGTTTGCTTTTGTCCGTCTGGAGGCTGCAAGCTCCCCTCCTTGCCCTCAGAGGACCACCCCACAGGATGCTTGTGGTGGGTGTCTTCAGGGGGCTGCAGTAGGGGCCAGAGGTCAGGGAAAGGGGCGTGGCCCTGGGGTCCTGCAGTCTCTCGTAGCGAACATCGAGGACCTAGCCTTAGTGCCGGGTGGGATAAAGGGAAGGAGAGGAGGGGGAATGGGGCAGGAGGGAGAGCCAGGTTCATCCAGAGAGGAGGAGGGCCTGGAGGAATGGAGGGGGTTGAACAGTAGCTCCCAGCCCCCATGGGGCAAACGCTGGGCCACAATTGCCCCTTTCCGTTTTCTAATCCAAACCCAAATTTCAGCACCCACACCCTTTTCAGGTGTAAAACATGGAGTCCGTGGGGCTGTGGGCTCGAGCTCAGGAGTTGCCTCACCTGTGAGAGATGTTCTGGCCGAGACGGCTTGGCCCTGGGCTGGGCTCCGGGAAAACGCTGGTTAGGCCTGGTGTTGAGCGAACCCGAAACAAAGTTAAATCCTCACCGAGAAAGAGAGCAGGCGGTGGGAGGACAAGCGGCTCTCTCCCTGGGGGAAGCCATGTTGTCCAGGCCCAGGATCCTCCAGGGCTGTGGCTGCCTCCCCTCCACGTGCTCCAGGGCGGCTGGCTGCGAAGCCGTGCGCGTGCTGCCCTCTACAGGCTGCTCGGCCTCCCTGCAGTTCCGCTCAGCCCAGGGCTCCAAGTGAGGCTCAGGAGCCCAGGGGCTGGGCGCCAGGGAAGCAAGAGGGGAGCCCAGAGCAGCCCCACCTCCCCTCTGGGCCTCCCGGGAGCCGTGGGCGAGAGGGAGAGCGGGTCCTGCAGGACAAGGAGAGTGGGAAATGGGTCTCCCAGCTGCCTGCAGGGCTGGGCAACCTGGGTCCACTGATGGGATGCAGGGAATGCCAGGGCAGAGAAAGTGAAGGTGGCCCAGGGCTGCAGGAAGCCACAGGAGAGTGACCACCGGACTCCCTGAGAAACAGGCCTGGCTCACCCCTCAGGGACCCACCACCCCTTCCCTGAGAACTGTCAGAGACAGATGCAGGAGCCAGGCAGCCAAGAGAACCCTCCTGGGAGGCTGTGGGTGAACCAGGCCAGCTCTGGTGCCCCTGTCCCCAGAGGGAGGGGCAGGCAGGAGAGAGGGGAGGGAGGTATGAATTCCAGTCCCCAGGAACCTGGCTTTTGAAACTCCAGGGAGTCGGATGCAGGAAACCCCCCAAGCAGGCCAAGCCTGAAGGCAGAGAGGGGAGGAAGGAGTCCCCAGCAGGACCACAGCCCTGGCCTCCTGTCACTCAGAGCTGATTCACTGAGGAGGGGAGGATGGGGCGGCAGACAAAACCACACCTCTTTTTATATAAGGTTTCATATTTAATTTGGTCATTAATTCATAAATACATAAGTATTTTGTACATAACATGCCTCCTTGTATTGTTTAATACTCTAACGAACTTCAAACAGGGGCCTCTGACAAGGCAGAGGCATGAAAGGACACCGACCATGAGTGACACACTGCACTAAGTGGCTTCCGTGTGTGAGGACAGAGCAAAACCCAACCCACCCAAACAACAAAAAACGCCAACAATTTCATGTCGGGAAGCTTGGCTGGGCTTGGTGGTGAGCACCTGTAATCCCAGCTGCCTGGGAGGCTGAGGCGAGAGGATCGCTTGAACCCAGGGGTCAAGAGTGAGTCAAGGAGATCAAAGTGAGCCAAGATTGCGCCGTTGCATGCCAGCCTGGGTGACAGAGCAAGATTCTGTCTCAAAAAAACAAAAATAAAAGAATAAGCTTAGCCGGGCATGGTGGCTCATGCCTGTAATCCTAGCACTTTAGGAGGCCAAGGTGGGTGGATCATGATGTCAGGAATTCAAGACTAGCCTGGTCAACACAGTGAAACCCCATCTCTACTAAGAATACAAAAATTAGCCGGGCATGGTGTCACACACCTGTAATCCTGGGAGGCTGACGCAGGAGGATTGCCTGAACCCAGGAGGCAGAGGTTGCAGTGAGCTGAGATCGTGCCACTGCACTCCAGCCTGGGTGACAGAGGAAGACTCCATCTTCAAAAAAGGAAAAAGTATAAGCTTTGCAAACACTGACAAGGCTGGTACTCTAGATGCATCTTCAAGGAAGGCCTCTGTACAAGGGACGAGGGAGCTGGGACCAGACTGGCTCCGTCTGAGCTCTGAGGCCGAGCGTCCTGCACCGAAGGCCTAGGAAAGGCAAAGACCAGGGGGCAGCAGCACCCTGTGCCTTCCAGAAGTGCAGGGGACGAAGCGTGGGCCGCCAGATGGAAGTGGGAGAGGATGGAAGTGCCAAGAGCAGAAAGGCCGCCCCCTCCCGAAGATCAAGGGACACAACACTGTCAATGTGCTGCCATCTGCAGGGAATTCTACTGTCCCAGCCAACCAGTCCCGGAACAAGACAACACACAATGTCCTTGAGACGCAAAAGACCAAAAACTCCTAGAATGACTACCTGCAAAAACTGATCCCGCCATGACTGAAACGCTATGGAGAAGGGTTTGCTAGAAAGAGGCTGAAATGGTTACTGAGGTTTTAAAACAGTAATAGAACAGGACACAGGGACAAAGCCTGAATGCGTCAGCCAGTCTCGGTCCTGTTGCCACAGTGTTTAAGAATTGATATATCTGAGATGAGTCCGATGTTTACAGAGGGGCCAAGCTCCTCACATAGGGAACCTGTACCCCAAGATGCAGCTCAGGGGCTCAGGGTCACAGAGCACCAGAAGCGAGCGGGGCTGTCCACTCCTGAGTTGGTAGCCACTTCACACCATTCCCAAGCACCGTCCACTCTTCCCTCTCGATGCCATGGCAGACACGGGAGACAGATCTTGTCCTCTCTCTCCTGAGCCCAGACAGGCTCAAGTTCACTACATTCACTGGAAATGGGATATGACATAGACCCTACTTGCTGCATCTGCCTCCTTCCCTGCCTGTCCACAGATGGGGGCTGGGGGTGCAAAGTAGACTGGCCAGATAGGGACCAGCCACACACAGGACTTCACGTGGGTCCAGTTCTCCCTGGCCTCGACTCACATGTAAATAATGAATACCTAATAAATAATAAATAATTACTACTACCTATAAATAATACTCATACACTTCTAAGGTTATCCAGTTCAAAACACTGAGTTGCCAGTCATTGAATCCAAAGTACATCTGAGGGAGAACTGGAACCCAGACAGTGACATCTTACAGAGGAATTTTTCTTCTTCCCTCATTGTATGTCTATTCATTGTTCGTTTGTGTAACGCATTCACATAACTATGTACACAAGTACATGTACTACAGTTTCTTCATGTTCACAAAATAATCACATACAGAATTATAAAAGTAGAAAAGTAAGGCCAGGTGCAGGGGCTCACACCTATAATCCCAGCACTTTGGGAGTCTGAGGTGGGCGGATTGCTTGGGTCCAGGAGTTCGAGACCCCCCTAGGCAACATAGAGAGACCCCATATCTAGAAAAAATATAAAAAGTTAGCTGGGCATGGTGGTGCACGCCTGTGGTCCCAGCTGTTTGGATGGCTGAGGTGGGAGAATTGCTTGAGCCTGAGGGGTCAAGGCTCTGGTGAGCCAAGATCCCACCACTGCACTCCAGCCTGAGAGTCAGAGTGAGACCGCCCCCAGAAAAAAGTTCATATCATATAGTATCAAGTAAAGTTGAACATAAAGAACTGCGTAGATACTAAGGCAGATGGATTATACGATGTAACCCAGGTAAATAAAGCATCTGCATTAGGATAAAAAAGTGCCATAAAGAGAACGACATCCCAAACCAACTCTCAATATACACACACACATAGAATCATCCAGACATTTCCACAGTGTGCTTATCATCACATTCAGCATATAAAAAGAATTTTCAAGTGCAGTGAAAAAGTTCTAGGATGTTCCATCCAGGGGTGATATTGCATGGGAGAGTTTCTTCCAGTACCGGTGATGTGACAGCTGTACTTTCCCACTGTCTGGGGTCCAGCTTTTTCCAGAAACAAAGGCAAAGCTCTTTCTGGCAGGTTTGACTTCCTGAAGGGATTCACACTCAGGAGATGGCAGAGTCTGCATTATCTTCTAGATACACAAACTTTCCGGAGCTCACCAGGCAGTCCTGGATCTCCTGCTTTGCAAGTCTCTGTCCCAGAGTCTCCAAGGCATCCAGCAGGGTGTTGACAGAGGCGTCCCGCCCCGTTTTGTTGACCCACTTTTTTAGCATCTCATACAAGGTGTCCCCAGGGCCCGCGGCCTCAGCTCTCGCCACGTCGATCTCGTTGTCCGTGAGGCCCAGCTCCCTCATGAACGGCACCCAGGAGTAAAAGGACACGTGGTCCGTAAAGTGTTGGAAGCACTGCTTGAGAGCTGGGGGGAAAAAGCCACAGAGACAGCCAGGTGAGCTGGGACTCGGAAAGGACAGAGGATCCCACATCGGGCCCAGAACCAAGGCGGGGTACCTGGAAAGCCCCCTGTGCAGGTGATCCCGCCACTCCAGTGCCCACGCACGTCCCACCCAGAGAGACCGCCCACAGTGCCTGGCCTTCCCACACCCAAGGTGCTTCGGGGAGTCAATGTCACCAGAGAATCTGCTCTTACACAGGGCTGAGAACCCACCTGGGGAGGATGGATGGACCCCAGGAAGGCAGAAAGCAAAGTGGGTGAGAGCCCGAGGGAGGGAGAGAGCGTGGCTGCAGCGGGAGCTCAGAGGAGGGAGGCTGCCTGGGCTGCACTTGCCATGGGAGCAGGTCCCAGGGTGGCCACTTCTGCATTTGTGGAAAGCGCAAGGCCTGGGGCAGGGGACCTCTGTTTACACCCAGCTCAGCCTCATTCCCTGAGGCTGGGGCAGAGCTAGGTGGGGGCAAGCAGACCCTGAGCAAAAATTGACCCTGGAGACAGAGCAACCTGGCCCAGATCTCGGGACCACGAGGCATTAAACGAGACGTGTGTAGAACCTGAAGCGGGCTGCCGTCCTCAGAGATAGACAGGGCCAGGAATACGAGGCGACGTTTTCTAATAGCCAAGTTTAAAGAACGTCAGAAACAAGTGACATTCATTTTAATGTATGGTACTGAATATATATAAAATATAATTTAATACAGTCAATATACAAAAACTGTGAGTGAAATATTTCCCACTCTTTTTTTTTTTGCATGAAGTCTTTGGAATTCACATGTAGTTTACACAACAGCTCTGCAGTTTGGGCTTAGGCGCATGTCAAGAGCTCCTTAGCCCACTGGGGTTAGCGGTGCCGTGCAGGACAGAGCAGCCCCTCAGGAGGTCCTCGGGGCGGGGTGTGGGGGCAGGTGGGCTGCATCAGGCCCTGAGCAACACGGGAAGAGAGAGGAGCTGAACGAGGGGACGGACAGAGTCATTAGGGTCACTGATAGGGTACAGAGAAGATGAGGTAGAGTGGGGAGAAGAAGAGATGGGAGAAGACAATTTAGGGTCCGGATGGTCTACAGCACAGGAACCACTGCTTCCAGCATGGAATATTCTGGAAAAGCCCTCTCAGCTACGGGGACAGCAATTAGGACACTGTCCCTATTCCTTCCATTGCTACTGCATCTCCAGGAGCAAAACACTTACTCTCAGTGGGGTCAGCGCCATTCGCTGGAACCAGCAGCCTCCTCCTCTGAGACCCTTCGGGTTCTGCCGGTTCCTGTGACACACAGTGGGGAAGGCTGTGGTCAGAACCAGGAGCCCTGCAGTCCAGTACCGACCCCGACCACCCACCAGCCCTGACACCTGCAGCACTTCACTTCCGGAAAGAACATTGTTCTGAAAGTTCTGGCAACAAGACAGGGAACAAAGGGGCGAGACTCTTGGAAGGAGGTCAATACACCAGTCAATATTTTAGATAGGAGTGTATATTTTTAAAACCCCAATGTTTAAATTGTAATACTTAAAAGTGAGTATGTCCTGATGAATTTTTTTTTTTCTTTTTTAAAGACAGAGTCTCGCTCTGTCTCTCAAGCTAGAGTGTAGTAGTGCGATCTTGGCTCACTGGAACCTCCACCTCTGGGTTCAAGAGATTCTGTTGCTCAGCCTCCCAAGTAGCTGGGATTACAGGCACGAGCCACCAAGCCCAGCTAATTTTTTATTTTATTTTTGTATTTTTTAGTAGAGACGGGGTTTCACCATGTCGGCCAGGCTAGTCTCGAACACCTAACCTCAGTTGATCCACCCACTTTAGCCTACCAAAGAGCTGGGATTACAGGCGTGAGCCACCACACCCAGCCCTGATGAATGTTAAAACACATAGCAAAGGCTGGACATGGTGACTCACACCTGTAATCCCGGCACTCTGGGAGGCTGAGGTGGGAGGATTGCTCGAGCCCCAGAGTTTGAGACCAGCCTGGGCAATATAGCGAGATCCTGTCTCTAAAATAAAAAATAAAAATTAGCTGGGCGTAGTGGCACAAAACCGTGGTCCTGGCTACTCAGGGAGATCACTTGGGCTTAGGAGGTCAAGGCTACAGTGAGCCATGACTGTACCATTGTACTCCAACCTGGGTGACAGAGTGAGACCTGTCTCAGAAAAGAAAGAAAAGTATCAGCAGACATCATAAAATAGAAAATGGACTTACAAGAAGACCCAAAATGCAAAGAAACAGCTTTGATGAGGAATAAGAATAATTTATCTAAAATAAACCCCCAAATCTTGATTGAGTCATAATAAAACACTTGACTTGAAATACTGTCTTCTTTGATAATAAAACCGAATGTTGAAAGGATCTCCATCACTCCTAGAGCCATTTATTAATTTTAATTAACATTTTTTAAAGTCCAGTGATTATTTGGGGCTGGTGGGCAGTACAGAGAAAATCCTGTAATTCTAAATTTTATCTATTTCTACATTTTAAGATGTGCAAAAATGATTTTGAAAACATATTTGCCGTCTAAGATATTAAAACAGTTTTCTTTAGTGCTGTGCATGATATAATCTTTTTCATGTCAACACTACATATATACATATGCATGGACAAAGATGGTATATACATAAAGAATTTTGCAAAAAATTATCCACCGTAGTGACCTGAAATAAGAAGGGCAAGAAGGCTGGGGAAAGAGAGGAGGCTCTGGAGATGATCAAGTGTTTTCATACTCTGGTAGATGTGTAGCTATGGGTGACCTGCTTTTAAAATATGATCAGGCTGGGCATGGTGGCTTGCGCCTGTAATCCTGGCATTTTGGGAGGCCAAAGGGGGTGGACTGGATGAGCTCAGGAGTTCGAGACCAGCCTAAGCAACATGGCCAAACCCTGTCTGTACAAAAAGTACAAAATTTAGCTGGGCACGGTGGCACATGCCTACAGTCCCAGCTACTTAGGAGGCTGAGATGGAAGGCTGACTTGAGCACAGGAGGCAGGGGTTGCAAGGAGCCAAGATCATGCCACTGCACTCCAGCCTGGGCAATAGAGCAAGACGCTGTCTCAAAAAAAAAAAAAAAAATGTTCGAAGTGATTAATAAGCATGGAGGAATTATTGGCATTGTTCATTTGATTTCTTTAAAATTCTCTTCTCTTTGTTTAAAAAGAAAGTCGCATAAATGCAAGAAGGAAACAGAACAGTCTAGGTGGAAGAGATCACTGCCCACATCAACTTTTGGCATTTTCAAGGACAAGATCTAGTTAAAAAAAAGGTTGAAGAGGAAGTGGAAAAAAAAGGAAACATCTGACATGTAGCGAAGGTGGTGGCAAAAGGGCAAAGGCAGGGGGAAAAGGAAGAATTGGTTGTTAAATGGGCTTGGAAGAAGAAAACAGACTCAGAATAATTCAGGGAGTTCCTCAGCTTATATTGAATCAAAAAATTCATTTCTGTTTAGATTACATTGCTGTATGCCAAAAAATAAATTATTAAAAATAAAACACTGCAAGAAACTAGATAATCTCATCTTATGTTGGGGGAAGGACTTTCATCACTTTCGTGCAATGAAAAATTAAATCTATGTACAGACCTACTCAGTACCATACCAAAACTGATGGACTGAAGTGAACTGGTTGTGTGTGTGTGTGTTAGATACAAAAGCCCTCTGTGCATCAACTCGGAATCCTACTTTTTCGGAGCTACCCTACCAACTTTGAAATACATTCAACATAGTAACAATTTCAGAGTAAATTCAAAACTTCTGCTGTTTCAAGCAAGGGCTCCCTGAGTTCTGTTAGGAGCACACAGTGGATACTGTGCAGCCTTATTCAGTCACCAACAAACCCTGTGACCCCCACTCTGTGCCTGTAGATCTCTAGGCTCTGGGGACACAGCAAGGACAGCACAGGAACTAAGAAGCAGATGTCTTGCAGAGTGGCCCAGTCACGATGTCAGCGTGGCTGCTCCATCCCCTGCAGTACCGTGTCTCCTTCAGGCTCCATTTCTCCTGGGCCAGGAGAGCTAAGGCACTGCCTTCTACCACTGTCTACAAAATCCCAGGCGAGCAGCAGGCCAGGAAACAGAATGGCCTGTCCCCGACTCACCAGCAGATGCTCTGGCTCCCCTGGGGGCAACACGTTGTCACCTGCCACTGCTGGCTCCTGGACTTCCATTTCCTGCTCAGGGTCCTGGATGGGCTGCAAGATACTCATGGATTCGTTGTGGACATTGTCCTCAGTCCCAGGCCCTCCTTGGGCATGTGAACTCTGGAAAAAGACATTGGGAAGGCAAAGAGCTGACTCAGGAGTTCACACCCAGCGCGTGCTGCAGGGTCCCCAGAATGCTGCTGAAGCTGCCATCCCCACCCCCTCTCAATGAGGTCACCCCAGGCAGCCCAGACTCAACACATCCAGGACCCACTGCTGAGGCCAGGCCCCTGATGCTGTGCTCAAGCAGACACCCCATCTCCAGGGTGCAGGCTGTGGGGTGAGGGTGTCACCTAGGCTGCAGCAGGGCTCACCAGCCTGTGTGGTGCTCAAAACGGCCATGTGTCCCCCACAGTCAGCCCAGGGCCTCCAGGCCACTTCAGAGAGTCAGAACAGCCACGAGGACAAGAGGGACCTGCCCACCCAGGTTCTGCTGTCCCAGGAAACAGTTCCTGAGCCTCTGAGCCCCCAGCTCCTGAAGAAACCAACTCACTCTGTCTACACGCTCAAGGTTCCGGCCGCGACCTGGAAGAGAAAGATTCTCCTTAACAGGTGGGGCAGGGCCCATGCAGCACCTCCCTCCCAGAGGGCAGTGGGCATGCACCGGCAGGCTGGGGGCTGGACCCTGGACAAGGAACCCCGAGTCTGGGGACAGGAATGGGACTTGGCAACTCAGAGACACCCTGAGGAAGGGTGATGCGAAGCGGAATTAGAGTAAAAATAAACACAGGGAAAATCTCTGGTTCTGCTATGACCAAGGTTGAATAAATCCTCCAAACACATCTCATCCTGACCCTGGTCACGCAGTTGAGGAGCTGACTGCCCCCTGCCTGGCTGGGCCTGAAGATGGGAGGAACCGGCCTTGCCCTCCTGGACCTGGCTGGGAGATGAGGGGACCCCCGGCCCTGGGAGAGGGACTGATGAGACCAGGGTCCTGGGGCGTGCATGGGATGTAGGGATGGGGCAATCACAAAGAGGAACAGCCAGGCAGGAGACACTTGGACTTGGGGCAGGAGTGGGCATTTCTGTCTGTGGGAACAGAGAGGGAGGAGGCAGGGCAGAGAGGGCCCAGCGCCCTGCCCTCAGCCAGCACCTACCTGAGCCGATGCCCTTCAGGTAAGGAAGGAGTTTCTTCCACAGTAAAGTCTTCAAAATAAACGCAGCTACAACCAGCAATATGACTGGAACCATAATCCCTATGATGATGCCTGAGAGGGAACAGGGAGAGGCAGGAGTCCCCATGCTAGAGGTCACTGTCTCCTCTGCAGCCGGGGTGCCCCCACTGAGCTTTGTACCTGATTCTTTGTGGACACACTTGATGTCACTCCAGGGTGTACAATTACTGACCAGGACCATCCCACTGGGGCACCTGGGTACAAACAGGAAGAGGGGGGACTCTTGAAGGAAAGCTGGCCAGGTGGGATGAAAGAGGAGCTACCCTCCCTGCCCACTGTCCCTGAGAAGGCGTGAGGGGAAGGACAGGCTCCTCCTGTCTGCATGGCCCCCCTCCATGCTCCCTGGTTGAGGCTGGGGAAGGGTCTGAGCATGTGCACTTCAGCCCCTCGGCCTCCCTGCTCTGGGGTCAGAGCTGCAGCTCCAGGAGCCTTCTGTGCCAGGCACACACTGAGTTTTCCTGGGCTGCAGGGGCGGCCTGCGTTAGGAGGAGCCGCACTCCAGGGGAAGATCGCATGCCCATGTGGTCACAAGCAAAGCCTCATCCTCCAGCCAACCACAAAGGGGAGCTCTTGCCCCCACCTGTCTGCCCATTCCTCCCAGTCACAGCAAATACTAGGAGGCCAGAGAACAGCAAATTACTCTTAGCTCCTAAAACCCAAATAGGGAAAAGGCAGGTCTTATTGAGGGATCAGGGGCCAGGGGCAAGGCCGGCTGGGTGGGCTCAACTCTTCATGGGAACTTCAGGGAGCTCTACCTATGGCCTGATTGCGACTTTTGTGGGCTGCAGGCACTTTTGTCTTCATGGGTCCCTGCCTGCATAAAAAATACTAAAAATTATATTTTAGTACTGAATTGTTATAAAGATGAATATAAGCCTGGCAGCATTCTACTCATTCTTCTCATTTCAAAAGAAATTAAATCATGCCGGGCGCGGTGGCTCATGCCTATAATCCCAGCACTTTGGGAGGCTGAGGCGGGCGAATCACGCAGTCAGGAATTCGAGACCAGCCTGACTAACATAGTGAAACCCCGTCTCCACTAAAAACACAAAAATTAGCTGGGTGTAGTGGCTCATGCCTGTAATCCCAGCTACTCGGAGGCTGAGGCAGGAGAATCACTTGAACCTGGGAAGCAAAGATTGCAATTAGCCAAGATCGCACCACTGCACTCCAGCCTGGGTGACAGAGCAAGACTCCATCTCAACAAAAAAAAAAAAAAAAAGAAAGAAAGAAAAAGAAACGAAATAATATCATGGGCCCCTAAAAGTATCATGAGCCCTAAGTCATGGCCTTCTGTGGGCAGTGAGCAAGTCAGCCTAGCCAAGGGAACTTGTGCTGGGGAGGGGTGGGAAAGGGCTGCTGCAGGGGGGCAGGGGTGGGGACAGGCAGAGGGACCAGGAGGGGCAGCCGCAGACACAAGGATGCCCCATGGGGTGGAGGTTCCATGGGGGCCAGGGAGAGATGGGGATACAAGGAGATTTAAGTCTTCTTGGTGTTCCATGGAGCTGCCGGGAGCCCCCTGGCTGCCGTCTCACCCTGTGCTGCACTTCCGGCATATCTCAGGGGAATCTTCTTCCTGGAAGCTGCCTTCTTCGCACTGACACACTGTGTCTGTGATCGTGGTACAGGATCTTATCTCCACTTTACCTAACGACAGAGCATATCGTTTTGGGAGTGTGTTTTCCTGATGTGTCCCTTGACCCTTCCTCCCCACTCCAAGACCCTCCCACTCAGTTCAGTTCTGTTCGCCAAGGAGTTCTGAGGGCCGGTTTCTGCACCAGCACACCTGGGGCTCATACAGGACACCCACCCTTCAGCTGTCACCAACATTTGGAGTCATACAAAAGGACCACGATTCATTATTGATTACATCAGTAGAGGAAAGCATCGTTTAGATCGCATGGTCAGTAGCAAGGGAGGCGCAGGGGCATCACCTGACTCTGCAAGGAGAGGAGCCCTTGGGTGATTTCCCCAAAGCCCAGCCTTGCTGGGGAGCAGGAAGGGGGCTGAGAACCTGCCAGAACCAGAGCCCGGGGAAGAGAGCCTGGCCCTGGAGCAGACCCATGCCACCCTGACACCCAGACTTTTCCACTCAGCCAGGCCTTCTCTGTGTTGTAACGGTGCCCCCACCCCTTTGCAGCTGTTAGTTTAAAAGATTTCCTTACCATGTAGCATATATTATACAAATAATTTCTGCTTTATTATTATTATTGAGACAGGGTTTTGCTCTGTCGCTTAGGTTGGAGTGCAGTGGGACAGTCTCAGCTCCCGCAACCTCAACCTCCTGAACTCAAACTAACCTCCTGCCTCAGCTTCCTGAGTAGCTGAGACTACAGGCAAGCCACCGTGCCTGGCTAATGTTTATATTTTTGTAGAGACGTGGTTCCTCATGTTGCCCAGGATGGTTTCGAACTCCTGGGCTGAAGCAATGCCTCCCAAAGTGTTGAGATTACAGGCATGAGCCGCTGTGCCTGGCCTGTTTTATTTATTAAAAGACTCCAAGACAAAATCATGGAACAAGGTATGATGAAGACCAAGGTGGGCCAGAATCTAGGTCTCCTTGATCCCATTTTAGCTACAACTTTTATGTCATCACCCTGCATTCCACCTTTAGGCATGAGTCCGTATGTTCTATACCTGAATCGCACTTTGTACAGTGAAAGCAGAAAAGGAGGTGATTCCAGTGAGGGGTATAGTCCTGTCCATTTTGGCAAGAGATACAATCTCTACCATCTTCTGAGATATGGTATCCTGGGAAGGAAGAGAAAAGCTGGTGAGTGAAGTATCACAGGATTCCCAGTAGCTGGCAGTGGTGGCTGGGGGACTCCTCTCAGGCATGAGTAGAATCCAAACAGGGAAATCTCTACCTAGCTTGGTTAGTTCACCAATTCTGCATTTACACACCTCAGACCAGCACTGCCAAAATAAATACAAGCCACGCATTTATTTATTTATTTATTTATTCAGACAGGGTATTGTGCTATAGCCCAGGCTAGAGTGTAGTGGTGTGATCTCAGCTCACTACAGCCTCGACCTCCCAGGGCCCTCTCCTCCCCACACCACGAGTAGCTGGGAATACAGGTGCACATCACCATGCCGGGTTAATTTTTTGTGTACTTTTTTTTTGTAGAGATGAGATTTCACCATGTTGCCTAGGCTGGTCTCGAACTCCTGGGCTCAAGTGATTCACTCTCCTTGGACTCCCAAGGTTCTGGGAATACAGGTGTGAGCCACTGTGCCCAGCCCACATATCAAATTTAAATTCACACTCACCACATTAAGAAAAAAAAAAGTGAGAAGGGGTGAAATTAATTTTAATAATGCATTTTAATTAACGTACCCCAGATAATATCACTTAAATATGTAATCCACATAAAACATTGAGATATTTTACAGCATGTTTTCATAGTATGTCTTCAAATCCCGCGTATATTTCAACTGATGGCAGATCTCAATTTGCAGTAACATATTTCAAGTGATTAGCAATCACATGGGCCTAGGAACTATTATATTGGACAGTGCAATCTTAGACCTTGGAAATGCACAGAAGAATGTCCTAATGGCTGTTCTGAATGAGCTCCCCGACAGTGAAAAATACAACCAGGAGCAGAAGTCATAGAACAGTGGGGAAACCCTTCAAAATTAAAGCTCACATCATCAGCCATGGGAAGAAAATGGGAAGAAAAAGGATCTTGTCTCTATAGAGTCAAAGAGTGATCCAAAAGGGGCACTAAAGCTGCCCTGGAATGAAGATGTGTTTCAAAATTGGAAAGTGTGAGTTCCCCCAACTTTGCTTTTCTTTTACAAAATTGTTTTTGGTCAGTAGGTCCTTTTTAATTCCATATGACTTTGAATATAAGTTCTTCCATTTTTAAAATAACACCACTGGTGTTTAAAATAACACCACTGGATTGCATCGAATCTGTACATTGCCTTGGTAATGTAACACTATTTTGATCTATGAACATGGAATAGCTTACTGTTTATTTTGGTTTTCTTTAATTCTTACAGCAACATTTAATAGTTTTCAATGTAAAAGTTTTGCAGTAGCAAAGAACAATCCAAACAGGAAATTAAGAAAACAATTTCATTGACAATGACATAAAAATGAATAAAACATTTAGGAATAAATTTAACAAGGAGCTGCAAGACTTTTAAAAACATTTGTCTACACATCCAAGAAGCTCAATTATCTCCAAGCAGGATAAGTTAAAAGAGAACTACACTGAGACACATTATAGTCAAATGGACAAAAGCCAACACAAACAGAAAATCCTGAAAGCAGCAAGTGGCCCACTCAGTATGTACAAGGGAATCGCTATAAGGTTATTGGCTAATTTTTCGCCTGGAACCACAGAGGCCAGAAGGGAGTGGGTAACATATTTAAAGTGCCAATAAACAAAAACACAAACACACAAAATCCTGCAACCAAGAATTTGATATCCAGCAATACTGTCATTCAAGAATGAAGAAGAACTTAAGACATTCTTAGATAAACAAAAGATAATGGAGCACATTACTAGTAGATATGCCCTGTGAAATGCTAAAAGGAATCCTTTAGGTAGAAATGAAATGACATTAGGTAATAGCTCGAAGGCATATGAAGAGATAAAGAACACTGGAAAAGGTAACTACATAAGTAAATATAAATGCCAGTATGCAGCTACTCAGGCTGCTATAATAAAATACCATAGGCCAAATGGCTTAAACAATAGACACTTATTTCTCATAGTTCTGGAGATGGCCACCATCTTGCAGTGCATTCATGTAACCTCTTCCTTGTGCACACAAAGAGAGAGAGAGAGACAGAGGGAGAGAGGGAGAGAAAATTGTCCAGCGTCTTTTCTTAAAAAGGCACTAACCCCATTATGAGGGCCCCACCCTCATGACCTCATCTAAACCAAATTACTTCCCAAAGGCACCATCTCCAGATACTATTGCATTGGATGGCAAGACTTTAACATATGATTTTGGGAGACACAATTCAGTCTATAGCACAGTATTATGCTGCTTTTGGTTTGTAAATCATCTTGTTTACTTACATGATTTAAAGAGCAAATGCAGAAAACGGTAATTACAAATTGATGTTAATCGGCACAGAATGTACAAGGATATGATCTAGGACAACAAGATGAGGGAGGAAAGATGGCGAAGTACAGGAGTACAGTGTTTGCATGCCATTGAAATTATGCTGATATTATTCAAACTAAGCTGGAGCCCATCTCAGAAAGGGGTGAGTGGGTCCCCATACCCACCCTGTCTGATTTCCCCATTTTAGTATGTATAATTGGAATAGACATACTCAGCAGCTGGCACAATTCCCATCTTCATCCCCGGACATGTGCAGTGAAGACTATTAAGGTGGAAAAGACCAGGTAGAAGCCATCAGACTTGCATTTACTTAAAAATATACCAGATGGGCATGGTGGTTCATGTCTCTAATCCCAACACATTGGGAGGTCAAGGCAAGAGGATTGCTTGAGGCCAAGGGTTTAAGATCAGCCTGGGCAACATAATGAGACTCCATGTGTACATACACATACAAAATTATCCAGGTATGATGATGGTAGATGCCTGTAGTCTTAGCTGCTCAAGAAGCTGAGGCAGGAAGATTGCTTAAGCCCAGGAGTTTAAACTACAGTGGGCTATCATCGTGCCACTGCACTTCAGCCTGGGTGACAGAGTGATACCCTGCCTGTAAAGCATAAAAAAAAAGCAGTACCACATTCCTAGAGGGATTACAGAGACCATTACCACCATCCAAGATGCATCTGTGGTGATTCCCATTACATGCCCATTGAACTTGCCTATCTGGCCTGTGCCAAAGACAGATGGATCTTGGTAAATGACAGTGGATTATCATAAGCCTAACCAGGTGGTAATTCCAGTTGTAACTGCTGTACCCGATATGGTTTCATGCTTGAGCAAATTGCTACATCCTGGTACCTGATATACAGGTATTGAACTGGCAAATGCTTTGTTCTTCATACCTGTCAGTAAAGACTTCCAGAAGGAGTTTGCTTTCTGTTGGCAAGGTCAGCAATATACTGTCAGTATCCTATTTTGGGGATGCATCAACTTGCAGCCCTATGTCATAATTTAATTCACAGGAATCTTTTTTTTTTTTTTTTTTTTTTTTTTTTTTTTTTTTTTTTTTTTTTTTCTGGAGACAGAGTCTCACTCTGTTGCCCAGGCTGGAGTGCAGGAGTACAGCACGATCTCATCTCACTGCTGCAACCTCCGCCTCCTAGGTTCAAGCAATTCCCATGTCTCAGCCTCCTGAATAGCTGGGATTACCCATGCATACCACATCTGGCTAATTTTTGTATTTTTAGTAGAGATGGGGTTTCACCATGTTGGCCAAGCTGATCTTTAACTCCTGGCCTCAAGTGACCAATCCACCTTGGCCTCCCAAAGTGCTGGGATCACAGGCATGAGCCACCATATCTGGCCTGCAGGGATATTGATGGCATTTCCCTTCCACAAGATGTCACACAAGATGATCCATTACATTGATGGCATTATGCAGAGTGAACCTCATGAGCAAGAAGTAGCAAATACTCTAGACTTACCGGTAAGGCATTTGCATGTCAGAGGGTGGGAAACAAATCTGACAACATTTCCAGGGCCTTCTACCTCAGTGAAACAGATTCCTAGTTGATGAATGCCATGGCGCACAAGGTATTCCTTCTATTCTAAGATATTCTAAGATGAAAGATAAATTGTTGTATCTGCCACCCCCACTCACCACAACCAAGAAAATGATACAATGCCTAGTGTGCTCTTTTTTATTTTCATGGGAACATAGCCCTCATTTGGGTGTGTGACTCTGGCGTATTTATCAAGTGACCTGCAAATGTGCTAGTTTTGAGTGATGCTCAGAACCAGAGAAGGCTCTGCAACAGGTCTGGGCTGCTGTAGACAGTTTTCCGTCACTTGGGCCATACGCAGACCCAGTGGTGCTTGAAGTATTGGTGGCAGATAGTAATCCTGTTTGGAAACTTTGGTAGCCCCCTCTAGGTCAACCACAGCACAGGCCCTTCGGTTTTGGAGCAAAGACTTGCCATCCTCTGCAGATAACTACTCTCCTTCTGAGAAACGGCTCTTGGCTTGTTTCTAGGCCTTAGTGCAGACTGAATGGTTATCCATAGGCCAGCAAATTACTCTGACCTGACTGCCCATCTTGAACTGAGTGTTATTTTGCCCACCAAGCCATAAATTTGGGCAAGGGCAGCCTAAAATTTCCATTTCCATCTTCAAATGGAATTTGCATATATACAAAATTGGGCTTAAGTAGGCCCTGACGGCACAAGAAAGTTACATGAAGCACTGGCCCAAGTGCCCATGATCCCCATTCCCGGGACATTACTTTCTTTTGCCCAGGCTGCACTTAAGGCGTCATAAGGAATTCCCTATGGCCAGTTGTCAGAAGAAGAGAACACTTGGGCCTGGTTTAGAGATGGTTCTGCACCACGTATGGGTCACACTTAGAAGTGGATGTTTACAGCATCACATCCACTGTCTGGGACACCCCTGAAGGTGAAAAGAAATCCTCTAGGCTGGGCACAATGTCTCATGCTAGTAATTCCAGCACTTTGGGAGGCCAAGGTGGGCAGATCACCTGAGGTCAGGAGTTTGAGACCAGACTGGCTAACATGGCAAAACCCTGTCTCTACTAAAAATACAAAAATTAGCTCGGTGTGGTGGTGCGCCTGTAATCCCAGCTACTCAGGAGGCTGACACAGGACAAT